ATTTTTTTTTTTCCCCACAAGTACTTCCTTTGATAAAATTTAGGCAACACGTCGCTTTAAAAAGGTTTTGAGGGGCGCTTGGATGGTTCAGTTCAAGGTCTGCCTTCAGCTCAGGTCATGATCCCAGAGTCCTCAGGTAGAGCCCCACATCGGGCTCCCTGCTCAGTGGGGAGCCTGCTTCTCCCTCTCCCTCTGCCTGCCGCTCCCCCTGCTTGTGCTCTCTCTCTCTCTGTGTGTCAAATAAATAAATAAAATCTTTTAAAAAATTTAAAAAAAGATTTTGAAGTAATATATTTCTTAGTAATAATTTTTTAAATTATTTATTGAGTATAGTTGACACACAATGTTACATTAGTTTCCAGTGTACAACTTAGTGATTTGACATGTTTATACATTATGCTCTGTTCACCTCAAGCATAGCTGCCATCTGTCCTGTTACATTGCTATTACAGTATCTTCCACTGTATTCATTATGCTGTACCGTTTATTCCTGTGACTTATTGAAATTTATTATAGGATTTCAGAAATGTAGATATTCTGCTCCCATTGTGTTCAAATTTAAGATCTTATAAATGATAAAACAAAGATAAGTATTTTCCTAGGGTTATGGGGAAAATTTTCCTCTATATATTTTGATTTCCATTTATGAGCAAATTAAGGAAATGACATTTTGGGGGGTTTTAGAAAAAGAGATTGTGTTGGGTACTATTTTGAGTGGGGATAGACTTTCACTGGCATTTGAACATTTAGGAGGAACACCAGGTTAATCAGATGTGTTGAATAGAATAAACCTGTTGCTATCCATGACTAAAAACATGTTTGAAGTAAAATTGAATCTCTCAGACGGAAAGGCAAACTTATTATTTCTTCCCATAGTACATCTGTTTAGGGCTGGCTGACTAATCCTTTAAGAAGTTGCTGAACTTCTTCCAAGTGCTGAAAACCTAATTCTGTTTTTAAAATAGCTGTATGTAATCTTATCTTCATACGTGTATTTTAAGAGTTTAACAAAAAGGATAATTATTTTTGCAAACTAATGATTTCTTAGACCCAGACTCCAAATGAGACTTTATATTTTTTTAAGGAGTCCTGGGAAAAATGGTCCATAAGAGTGCAGGGTTTTTGGGAAGAGGGATTGGTTTTATGTTTTGTTTTAATTTTTTTTACATTTCATTTTGGTGTTAATATCTCAAATATGTGAGAATAGGAAGCTCTTTCCTCTGAATTACAATAATAGTTGCAGATGCATTAGAATCATAGTGGTAGATGCAATAGAGGCCCTCAGGAAACTCCTTAGCTTATCTGAGGAATCTTGGACTAATAACTTCACCAAACCAGCTACAAAGCTGAAATAAATTACATTGAAAATACATGTCAAAGTGAAATGAACATAGTGTTTTTAAGACTTCTCATTAATTTCTTTGACCTTAACTATTGAATTCAGCATTTGTAAGCAATTTGTTATTTAAATGCCGATGAAAAAAGAAAAAAATAATTCTAGGGAGTGGTCTTGACAGACTTCCCTTATTTTTCTTTGCTGTGGTGATTTCTTCTTCACTTTGCTCCTGCACTTTTCCCTAGGAGTTAATAGGGCAAATTTCTCAAGCCAGACTGACTGTTTCTACCATCACTACCTTGGGCAAGTTACTTCTTCATGCCTCCATTTCTAAATCTGTGAAATAAATATCTACCTCACAGTTTTGTGGTAAAGGTTAATTGGGAAAATAGCTTGCAAATCACTTAGAATACTGTGAAGCATGGAATAGGCATCCAAAACTCCAAAATGTTCACTGTTCTTGTGGTTCTTTTCTCACAGGGCCCTTTCCCCTTTTCTGTTGTTTCTGACATCTCTCCCTTCAACCTCCATGTTCCCAGCTCATGTGTTTCTCTTCTATGATTAGATCAACCAATATTAATACCTTACTACCAGCTATTGCCTAATCAAATTTTACCCTATTTTAGTCATTTCTTAGTATAACAGTTGCTTTTCCACATGGTTTTCAAAGAATACTTTCAATTTCTGTGTTTTGATTAGATTGACAGATTTTATTTATCTCCTTCCCAGGGCAGTTTCCATTAAATGAGTTCTATTCGTTATGTTTAAAGTGAAGGCAAAAAGAATACTTATTTAGTTAATGTGGTAAAACTAAATGATTTGCAATGGCTTGAATACCTGTCTTCAAGGTATGTCTTCTAGCACCAATTCTGGCTTGCTAGTGTAGGGGCCAGAATCACTTAACCATAACCATGGCTAAAATGGATGACCCTGTTACAGCTATTAATTTAGAGTACAACATGGTGTGTCTTGTATTAGGAGTCTATGGTATGTATTGTTGTCAGCAAAAAATCATTTACAAATTCTTGCTTATGACCTGTCTCTAAGATAAGTCTTTAAACACTTCCTTATGCCATTAATAGAAGACATGAGACAAGAGGTGTGGCAGGCAGCTGTTTGATCTAGTGAACCTTTTGGTTAAAAACCATGGATATATGAGCCTTACTATTGATATTATATCTTTAAAACTTTTCTATTTTATTTTACTGAGCTAACTGTCCTTTTTATGTAAATCTAAGATGTATTTCCTAAGTTACTGTATATTTGGTAATCTCTTTTGTTTCTTCTCTGTATTATATATAATATTTTAAGGTGCTAGTCCTTGCATGGAAGTTTACTTGTGGTTAAGAAAAAATAATTAAGACCGTGAAAAGGATAGTGTCTTTCTTTGTTTTACTTACTTAATCAGTGGGGCTTTTCCTCATCGGGAGCTGTGTGGTTTTGTAGCTCTTAAAACAAACACCACCATTCCCTAAGAGAGAAGCAGTATTTTGCATGTTTTATTATATTGTGTATGCTGAGATCTCTTTTTGAGAGAGAAACATATGTTTGGTGAGTTCATGTTTCTTGAAAGATACATGATTCTTCAGACTGGAATCTAATGAAATAGGACTCCCATTTGAAAACCAAAGAGTTAAGGCTACAACAGAGGATAAAAGTGATCAAATGATTAGCCAGGGGCTAATAGAAATTCTGGGAAGAATGACAGATTGTATATTAGAAAGAAATACGATATCATATTCATTGAAGCTTTTACAACTAAAGATCTAAAAGAAATAATAGAAAATTACTGAAAGAGATGAATGTCTGAAACTTTAGAAATGCATGTGGTGTTGGATTAATCCAAGCAAGAAAGACTGATGGGCAGATAATAAATTACATTGTATAGGAAGTCTGCATTCCTTGTGTTCAAGGTACTTTTGCCTCCTTTTTTTCCTTGCAAGATACATTTAAACAGCTCTAGGCCAGTTTCAGAAAATTCGGCTCATGATTTTCATTATACCATATGTGTATGATTCTTTGGGATAGATAAAGTATTATAAACAAAGACCCCAAATCCTTGAGTGGAGGAGGTTAATCTAAACCTTCCTTCTGTTCTGTGCCAAATTGATAGCATTTTTCCTTTTGACAATATGAACAATACAGAACACCTTTTCATATACAATCAATTGTAATGTTCCCAAACAAAAAGAGTTTGAAGAAGTACTGTACTTCTGTTGGGGAAAAAGCTATACTTCAGCAACTGTACTTTTGGGGAAGAATAAGTAGTCACAAACTGGAAAATGTGTATATATGTATTTTCATTGCAGAGAAGTATTAACTGTTCTCAATTTTATTTTGCCATGGGTACATCATTTTACTTAAAAAATTATGTGTATCTGTGTGTTATTGTCTATCTTCATATAAATTTATATACAAACTAGTATATTTCCTTTTTTTCTTAAGTAGTCACACAGCACTGTAATAATTGTGGAAAAATTTAGCTATGTTTACATATGTTGTTTGAGAAAAACATACTTTTCTTAAACATTTGAGCCTTTTAATCAATTTTGACCATTCAGACTTGGCATTCATTTGTGTTCTTAGTTTTTGTAGGTCCAAGGAGAAAGTGAAATGCTTCCTGAAATATAAATAAGTAATAAAATTAACGTGCGTACAGCGTACGCTCTTTATTCTTCTTGAATATATTCTTGTTGGTCCTTCTTTAATATATCCTTAATCTCTGGGGGGAAGAGAGATTATTACTCTGTTAAACTGAAGTTCTGATTCCAGTCATCTGGGTTTCTATATACTTAAACATGTAAGCTTAAACTCAAGTATTTACATATAAATGAGTTCTATATTCTGTAACCATATTAAAATATTTCCTAATATATGATGGAAGGTTTATAGGATTTGTGTTTTTTTTATAGCTACCTCAGAAATAGGATCATTATTAAAATGCTGTAAAAGCTAGTTCTTTCTTGGATCCTGTCAGATAAACTGTAAGAAACAATGTTAGCTTCAGGATGTGATTGCATAATACAGATGAGCCCTGTTAATAAAATGGAATAAAAGTTGTAAGTTTTGTCCCTTTAATATGCTTAATGGTTTCCATTGAATCTTTTCTAATCAGTTTTAGAGGACAATTTAAAATATAACTCATGCATTTTGTTTTTATTTTGTAATGTGCATAACGTGTGTTGGGGGCAAGCAGAGAAGGAGAGGGAGGGAGGGAGACTTCTGGGGAGCTGTCTCTCTCTAGTAAGAAGAAACAAGTAATCAGAATTATTAGCTGTACTTATTAAACTCCTGTTTCTGTATCAATTGTTGCTAAACTAACTTCTGTTGCCTTGAACAGGGTTAATAACATATACAAATCTGTGCAGAACTTCAAAGAAAATTTCATTTATAAATGGCCTGTAATTAAGACCATTTCTCTACCTAAGTAGTTTGTCTTGGGCTTGAAATGTAAGCAAAGGATACTTAATGAACTACCAGTTATTCTCTACAAAGTTACTTATCTCCATTCCTGGTGTGTATATACCTTCAGGATAGTGCAGTAGGAGTTAATCTTCCACATGTTGTCAAAGCCCTAATGGACATCTGTGTTTCTGTATAGATTATTCTTTAAATGGCTAAAAATATAGAATTCTAATAGGAACTATTTTTATCCTTTTTGCAGCTATGTCATCTTATCTTTTAATTATTAAAACAGAGCTTCCTGCTGCTATTTCAGAATTTTTGTCGGGAGACCATACTGGGTAAGAGAAAATATTTCATGTTGTATCCATTAATTTGTTAATTCAATAAATATTTATTAATGATGTGATAGAATAGGGCAGGACAGGGAGGAACTATCTCTTGCATAAGAGCAAAGGAGAAATTTCTGGGAATATGAAAGATTGAGGTAGGGAATGGGGGATGGTGAGAAGTTTGGAGAGTAAAGGTCTTAAACAGAGAAGGGGAGTGGATCATACTGTGGTCGCTTCTCCGCAAACCACGGTGATAAAGTTACAACCACACTTGTGAGATTTCTATTCTAAAGCATGGTTTGAAAAAAATAAATGATTTGCAGAGACTTAATGATTTCATTTCCTGGTTTTTAACAATATTGTAAACAATACTAAACCACATTATACTTCCTTTCTCCTTTATTATTTAAAAAATACTGGGTTCTAAAGACTATTGACTCATCTCTTTTTATGAGGAAAAAACAAATTTATTATACTTTTCCTTTCATTGCATAGAAAAAGAAATTTTGAGAAAAATACACTTTAAAAGACAGAATAAATTCTTTTAAGTGTCATCAAGTTATTTCACATAATTTCTAAACCACAATACAAAAACCTATCAGACTTTTAGACTTAAATATTTGGTTGTTTTGCTCTAATATTTGGACTTGTTCTGGACTGCAGGGCAAGTTTTCAAAATTCTTTAAGTTTTACAACTTGGCTTCCATGAAAAAGTTCTTCTTAGACAACTGCAAATACGTATTTATAAAGAAAGTATGGTATACTTTAGATTGAATAGAAATCAGAAGTCCTTAATGATTTTTCATCATCAGAAGATACTGTGCCTGGGCGCCTGGGTGGCTCAGTTGGTTAAGCAACTGCCTTCGGCTCAGGTCATGATCCTGGAGTCCCTGGATTGAGTACCGCATCGGGCTCCCTGCTCGGCAGGGAGCCTGCTTCTGCCTCTGACCCTCCCACCTCTCATGAGCTCTCTCTCTCTCTCATTCTCTCTGTCTCAGATAAAAAAAAAAAAAAAAAAAAATCTTAAGAAGATACTGTGCCTTTGTGTAGTACTTTACAGTTTATAGGGTTTCCACATTCATTATCACATTTGATGTTCACAACTGCCTTGCTTTGTCTGCTTTTAAGTTTTATGCTCTTAGTTTGGTGAATACGATTGCTCTAAGAAAGAGCTATGTGAAATTCACTTTTTCATTTGCTGTAAAAATATTCAGGACAACTTCTGTTATTCAAAAAATTCTATGTGACAAATTTAGTTTATAGTTTAGGGCTAAGAACTCAAGGCAATGAGAAGTAGAATCAGGAATATTAGACTAAGAGTAAGGAGACATGTGTTCTATCCATGTCAGTGACCTCAGGAAACTGATTTTACTTCTTCTGGCCATATAACTTAATTTTGAGCCTGAGGTTTCTTCACCTGGCTTAATGGAGGTACCAGTATTACCTTCTTAACAAAGTCGTTGAGATGATCAAATAAGATATTATATATATACATGCTTTTGTAAGCTGATAGCAATAGTGTAAATGTGGAGAATTAAGAAATTCCATAATGTTGAATGTCAAATATACCCTCAATTAAAAATAAAGAAATTTCAATAATAATAAATATATTAAAGGTGGATTTTCCCTGTTTGCTCTGCCAGGGAGGTCAGAGTTGAATTTGACTGTTAATCCTAATAGTTGTCACATGTTTGCCTTTTTCTTGCTCCTGAATTTGGTGACTTCTATTTACATTTTTTTAAATTGTGATATGTCTTCATGGAAAGAGGAGGGATAACCATGCATATAAAATTTTAGAAATAATTAAGGTAGTATGAGACAGAACTGCTATTAAAACTTAGGTCTTCTTTCTCTAAATGTGATACTTTTACATAGCTTTCTCTTTATATCAATTACCAGGGGCTCCTGGGTGGCTCAGTCATTAGGTGTCTGCCTTCGGCTCCAGTCATGATCCCAGGGTCCTGGGATCGAGCCCCGCGTCGGGCTCCCCGCTCGGCGGGAAGCCTGCTTCTCCCTCTCCCACTCCCCCTGCTTGTGTTCCCTCTCTCGCTGTCTCTCTCTCTGTCAAATAAATAAATGAAGTCTTTAAAAATAAATAAAATTAAATAAATAAATCAATTACCATTTATTTTGTTGGGTTTTTTTTTCTGGTTTGTTTAAAAAAATGAAAGTTAACCCCCATCTTACTCATTTTAGTAGAAAATTGATTAAAATGGTATTTTTTATAGGTCAGAAATGGATTTTTAAAGCTATACTTCAAAATACTGTGGCCAGTTGGCATCATCTCTGTTTTGATGAAAATTGCACACCTCTTTAACAGTCTCATCTTGTTTTACATGTAATGTACATTTGCTTATTTTGGATTTTAGAGTTGTAAAAAAACATCAATAAGAGACTATATTAATTGGTAAGAATGCAGATAAACCATCAATCTTTAAAGCTTAATGCTGTAAAATAATTAAGAAACAAATGTTATGGTAATTGACAACTATCTAGGGCAGTTTATTTCTGAATAAAGTTATATAGCTATATTTCTTCCGAGATCAATATGATATTGTTATGCTTTTATTTTAGGGCTTGATTGACAATAAATTGCACTTAAGGTCTTTCAGGTGTGCTTATTTTCTGTGAGATTTGATGTACCTTTGTGAAATATAAGCCTTTATAAAGATGTTATAAAAAAGAAACCGTATGTTCATAATATTCTAATTTCAACAATTACTGTTAGAAGTCAGAAGCTATAATACTTATCCCAAACTTGTATGAGGCATCTGTACTTTTCAGAGAATAATTTATATTTTAAAAATCTATGGCTGTTAAAAGTTGGAAGCTCTCTGTTAACATTTAATGATCTTGTCAGGGGAATATGATTGACACAATTAAGTTGTCTTGCATTTGAGTTACATAATTGATATGGGATGTGAGTAAGATCCTAATTCAGAACATATGATACTCTTGTTCCAGTCTATTCGAGAATGAAATTAAAGCAACTTATAAATAAATCTGGTTTTCATTAAAATATGGAAAAAAGCATCTGCATGCCAAAGCATTTGCAATACAGCTAAGGATTTATACTCTATATTTCATACTTGGAACATTTTTATCATATAGAATTAAATCCACAGATCAAACAAGTTTTCTAGGAAGTATAAAAACTTTTTACTCTAATTCTTTTGGCTTAAAGGAATGTATATTTAGATTATAGTAGGAAAACAGGGGTTCTGTTAGATAATTCATTTTCCCCCCTTAGGAAAAAATTTAAGGTTAGTATATTCTTCTAAAATCTTGATTTTCAATATGTGCTTTTTGAGATTACTTTTTACTGGTTTGTATTTCTCGGGCTGGGTTTAATTTTCCAAGTTTAATCATCTCTGTTCTTTGGAAAATATCCATTGCCAAACACAATTCAGTTGACTGTGACATGCATATCAAATCTAAACTAACTTTAGTGTGCATTACTGAATTGCCCTGTAGTTGAATGATAAAGAAAAGCACTGTATTTACAATTGTCTTTATTAATGTACCTTAATAAGTACAAGAAATGTTTAATAATAACCAGTAGCCAAGCCAGGGATAGTGAAATTACATTTTGCAATGAAGTTATTTTTATATTAGGAATTTAAAATTCAATCCTGTGACGAGGAGAGTGTAAAGGAAAGCACCATCTTGAGAAAAATGAAGCAGTATCTGAAAAATACCAAAAACTCAAGAGTAACTATTCAAGAGTAGAGATTAGGAGTGCCTGGGTGGCTTAGTCTGTTAAACATCTGACTCTTAGTTTCGGCTCAGGTCATGATCTCAGGCTTGTGAGATGGAGCCCCATGTCTGCTTCTCTCTCTCTCTCTCTCTCTCTCTCTCTCTCTCTCTCTCTCTCCCCTTCTGCCCCTCCCCCTGCTTGCGCGTACATGTGCATTCTCTCTCTCTCTCAAATAAATAAATAAATCTTAAGAAAAAAAAGAGTGGAGATTATTTCCATTTCTCCTGTCACTAAGATCATTCTCATCCTTTTCTGCTTTTACAGACATATAAGATGAAGTTGTTGAGCCAAATGATCTCTGAGGTCTCTTCTTGTGCTAACATACCATAACTGTGATGCTGAGAGACTGCTGGGAGGAGGTGACGTTGTCTTCAGTCCCACAGTTCAGTGCTTTCAGCAGTCTCATGGCTTCTGGGCATGAGAGAATTGTGGTCTGACATAATATAGTTATAATAGTATAAGTTATAAAGTTCAGGATTTCAAAATGTTTATTCTTATGCAAGAGGAAAGAGTCTGGTCCTAAGGATTAATGTGCTTGTTGCACAACTCCACCTTCATGACAGTAGGAACAGCAGAGCTAACAGATGGAATCTGCTTTGGTGTTCTACTGGCCCTTTTTTCTCCTGACACTGCAATTGTCTGGGTCTGATACTGGGTCCCTGAAGGAAGGAGGTTTTAGGTGTAGAGTCCTGAGCTTTTTGCCAGCTTCAGAAATTTAGTTGCCAAGTGTCCTTCAATGAGGGATGTTTTGAAGTTCCTATTTTGATACTTACTCAAGAGTGACTAGAAGATGAACCTGCCTGGTATTATTTTGTATTCTTAATACGTGTGCCCTTAGGTCCTCCTACATACAGGAATTGAGAGGCTTGTGTAAATGCAGAGAGCACAACTTCAGGTCCGTGAGTACTAGAAATACTTGTGCACAGGTTTTAGGTTCTGACACAGGCATTTCCTAAAGACACGAATTAGAGTGAAAAAGGGAAAGGTGTGATCATGGTGCTATTTCTGCTGCTACTCCTTCTTTTGTTCTGTTTAAAAGGAGGTTGTTGGCACCCACCAATACCCGCTAAACATACATTAGAAAAAGACTTCCTCTGAAACCAGAAATAAAAGAGACACAGTGAATCATGAAGTCCGTGTTAGAAGCCAGGGGCTGAAACCCGTGTAGGGGAAAACCTTTTCTTTCTTTCTTTCTTTTTAAATTGAGAGATAATTAACATATAACAGTGTATAAATTTAAGGTATACAATAT